CCAATAGAAGCAAAGACACTGATTTCCAACCTTACACGAAGCCCCGTAACTCCTGCATTCCTTACACGACAAAACGACAACCACGAACCTGAGTTTTCTGTGGTAAGATCTAAGCTTAAAAGGGTTCTTCCCATACAACGAAAAGACGTCGAGGTTGCCGGGCAGCAGCCACAGACGTGGATTCTCCAGAAGAAGAAAAAGAGGATACGAAATAATGAACGCGATGACTTAGGTTAGCTCAAACGTTATATTTCCGCGGACTTATAATGTATTACTTCACTTTACACACACACACACTTTACATTACTTCCAAAACAATCTAATTTGTAAATATAAAACCACTATTTTCAAATAACTTTGTTAATGTAGAGGTTTCGGCTCCGTCAGGATCGCTTTGGGACTTAAAAATAACGTTATTAAATAAACTTACACTTGCATAGTTGATATTTATTAATAACAATGGCAGTTAAGCAGCCCCCCCCCCCGGTGACTCAGTAGTAAGTCAGTGGGCTTATGACGCTAAAATCTTGGTTTCGATACCCATGTTAGGCATAGCACAGATAGCCCATTATGTAGCTTTGCGCTTAACAACAAACACACACAAATAAAAAGGAACTAAGCGTGTGATAGTATTACGATATTGACCTAGTAAAAGTTTATTTGTATAATATAGGTTTAATTAATTAATTTTGGTCTTTTTTGAAAGTGTTCTGTGAAGTATCTGACGAACTGATACAATCTGGGTGTATGTAAAGATGATGAATCGGTGATTCTAAAACTGCCTGGTAGCAAAATTAATGTAAAAATTCTAAAATTTATAATAAGCCCAATATGAACTTCAAATTGACAAGATCGCTCCATACATTCTTTGACTCTCCAGAAGAAAACAGTTACATACTTCCCCCCATTAACTGTGAAAAATGTGGATTTTTGCTACTAAGTTTTCGTTCTCCTTATAAATAGACCTAGGTTTGCACTTAAGGAAAAAAAAGGTTTAAACAATAAGTGGTAGTGAGAACCAGTGTAATAAATTGATCTGTTTTCCCGCTAATTATCAAGTAATTGGATTTTTATAAAGTAATATTTACCTTTTGATAAAGGTTAGATAGCAAAAAAGTCGATGAAGCTTTTAATGAGAGACTCTGTACTCACTCTCCCGGCATGGCCAGGTGGTTAGGGCGCTCGACTCGCAATCTGCGGGTCGCGGGTTCGAATCCCCGTCCCACCAAACATGCTCGCCCTTTCAGTCGTGGGAGCGTTATAATGTGACGGTCAATCCCATTATTCGTTGGTAAAAGAGTAGCCCAAGAGTTGGCGGTGGGTGGTGATGACTAGCTGCCTTCCCTCTTGTCTTACACTGCTAAATTATGGACGGCTAGCACAGATAGCCCTCGTGTAGCTTTGCGCGAAATTCAAAAACAAACAAACGAACAAACAACTAGATGGTGTCAGGTTACTGTCAGGTTAACTTGATGTATTGTATTACTGTCAGGTTAACCTGGTTTATTGTATAACTAACCTGGTAAATTATATTACTAACCTGGTGTATTGTATTATTAACCTGGTTTATTGTATTACTATCCTGGTATCTAATAGATGATTAACAATGTAATTTAGTAAGATATATTTGAACCACAGCAAGTCATAACCTTATACATTGTAATATTAAACCAACATCTAAAGATTCTGACCTTCCAATAATCTAACTTTAGTCCTCAAACATCATGATGTTTTTTATTCTTTCTTGTTTTCAGCTTGGAAGAAGGATGATGATTTAAGATCGGTTGTGTACAATGAAACGACGTTCCCCACAAGTCCAGCTCTTCCCTCTACAGTCACTTACTACATTGACTTTTACAAATATATACAACTCGATACTACTAGGCGAACTTTAGGAGAAACGTTGGAAGATGTGAAACCCATAGAAACAGTCATCTACCCCTCTGTACAGACTTACAAAAATTCCCTGATTTTTCATACGAAACCTGAAACACCACCGTTAAACCATCATAATGTCTTGTCCATTCCTTGTCTAAAGTGGCGGACACTTTCAAATATCCGTGTCAATAACGGATTAGAAGATGATGTGAACAATAAAATCACATGTACAGCTCACAACGACCAGATCGTGACTGTCCACCGACGATTATCGCTGTCCACTTCAGGTTTTGTTTTTCCACAAGTACGGAGTCCATTAGTTACCAGTAGCTGTCAGTCCTTTGTAGAATCCTCCCAAAGGTTAACTGAACATGCTGTAGAGAAGACGAACCTCGTAGAATTTTCACCTTTAGTTGTAGTTGAGATCCATGGATTCTGTACACTGGACATTCCAAAGAAACAGGATTATATTAATGTTATAAAATCATCTTACAATCCTCAAGAAAGAATAATTTTCGATGAAGGAGCTCAGTTTGTGATATCCAGGAATATAATCACTCCTCTGTCTGTTTCTACGTGTATAGACGTTACGTCAGAGGGTGGATCTGTGGATTACTTTCAAGACCATCAATGGATTCCTGAATCTTACCAAACTATTCACCATTCCATATCAAAATTGCACTTAGTTGAACGACAGGTGGCGCTATCATGCATTACAACTCAGATGGGTGAATCAATCATTGTTAGTTCTGAACTGAAGCCCACGGTGATAGTATATGATCTGGATATGCTAATTCATCCGTTACTCCCGTGTGTGAAACAAGAAATTCTACTCGGTGATCACAACTATAAAGTATTTATCTTGGAACTACCAGACCCAGTCCAGACTCTGAACCCTTCTTTCAGTGACTATTTTAAGTGTTCTTGTCAAACTTCGCAACCTATATTACTCGAAAATACAATTATCTCTTCTGAAACTCCAATATTAGCTAAACAAATCCAAAGCTCATTGAATCGAACTCCTGCAATAGGAGAAAAAGAAACTTACAAAGAG